TCAGAAGAGTTCTGTCACTGTTGATAATGAAATTACTTGGTGGAGGGTGTTGCAAATGGATACATACATTTAGAGTTTTTTCAGCTGTTAAATAATGTTCCTTGAAATGTTTTTTGAAGGATGTAGAGAAAAACAATTACTATGTATCATTGTTTTATGGATGGCCATGGGCGTGACTAGAGCAATCAGTATTGTTTCTTACTACTTTGATAATAGACTCAGTCATCTGCAAGAAATTAAATGAACAGATTGTAAAATCTGATGGCATTCCTGAGGAAATATGTTGAATATAAATAGTTGAAAATTGAAAAGATTGTGTTAATTGTGTGGTTTAATTCCAGTAGGCAGCTAAGCACTACACAGCCACTTGCTCACTTTCCCCACTGACCTCAGAGGGATGGGGGAAGAGGAAAGGAAGAGTAAAAAAAAAATTTATGGGTTGAGAGAAAAATTGTTTAAGAAGTGGAGAAAAAAATGGAAAAAGAGATGCAAAACAAAACAGGTGATGTAAAGGCAATCACTTCTTCCACAGGTAGATCAATACCCATTCGGTTCCTGAGCAAAAGCTGGCTAACCTCCCTGAACCCTCTCCTCTTGCTTTTCATTGCCAGGCATGAGGATTTATAGCCTGCAATATCTCTGGTTAGTTCAGGTTATATGTCTGGTTGTACCCTCTCTCCTGCTTGCCAGAACATTACTGTGTTATCAGCATCATTTTGGTGACAGGTCTGAAACACAGCACCATGCAAGCTGTTCTGAAAAAAATTGTCTCCATCTCAGCCAGACACAATACATAAATACACTTGTTGTTTCTTCTTCCTTCTACTTCTGATGGTAACTCAGGTAAGACAAATAATATTTAGATTAGTAGCCAGAGTGAAAAATGTAGGTATAAAAATATGCATTACACAATTCACTCAGTTTTTGGATTCATGAAGCACCCATGACAGTACATGGCTGTGTCTCGTCCTGGGCATATGTCATACTCAGTTTTAATTTAGGTGAAAAATGAGGCTCATATTACTTCTGCAGCTCTTGTTCCTGCTGAGAAAGTGTGACTATCAAGAGGAAGTGTACACTGGACAGAAAAGATCTGAACAGGCATCAACAAAAATAAAAGTTGAGCTGAGGTGCCAACAGTGGATAGGTTTTTAACTGTGTTAGTTTCCTTGATGGAAAATTGCTCTTTGGGCTTGAACTTGGAAGTTCTAACTTTGCCTGCAATTGTTTGGGGAGAGTAGTATTTCATGTCCTAGGTTTAGCTATCAAGTAGGATCACCAAGTATCTTCTACAGGCACCTTTACTCTACTTTCCATAGTGGTGGGATACCATAAACATGAGATTAAAAAGGGCTGCTCAGTCATCATGCCCAGTCTCAACAGCTATATATAATTGCTTTCTTAAACTTCACCTTAACAAACAGTTCAGTTGTTCCTTCTTTCATTTTTAGGCTGCTCTAGAATGCAGATAGTCTAGAAATGGAAAGGTGGTTTTGGGTTTGTTCATGATCTGTATGCCCATTTGCTCTCATTCTTCTGTCCTTAAAATTAGAATTATTTTTTTCTTCTTCGTGGTAATCCCTTGATAATTTTATTGAAAGAAAGTCTGTTTTCTTGTCATCAGGGTTCTGCTAGGCTAGACAAGTAACACTTTCATCTTATTTCAGTTCCTAAGACAGGCAATCTGCTCCTCCATCCTGATAACCTTTTTTTTCAGTTGTTCTTTCAATCTGTCTTTGAGGGTGATCAGAACTCTGTGATATTATACATGAAGGCTCATTCATGCCACATTGCCTGACATTGATACTTTTCTGTTTTTACTAAAAATAGCCTACTTAAACTTTTTCCTTTTTTTTTTTTTATGGACACCTCATTTTAGTATAAGCTAACAATCCACAAGGGTAAACTTTCTACTTCTCACTTTTGGTCTTCCACTGAAGAGCTATGAATTTAAGCACAAATAATTATTGTGGTTCCTAAACCCCTGTTATACTCCCCAAGCTATTCTTTCAGAACTCTAGTAGGAGTCTTGTTCCAGCCTGATAGTAGGTTGTATGAAAAAAAAAGGAAACATAAGCACATTGCAGGTTTTATACTAATCCTTAATTTTTCAGCTAAGATTGTAATTTCTTGTATAATGTATAATAAATTACCAACATTCCTTCAGACTATATTTATTGCATGATCTTGTGATAATAGGCTAGCACAATTTCTGTTTAAAAACAATGGGAAAAGCATTGTTTATACATGTGTGATGAGAATTATTCTTGAGCTGGGGAAAACAAAGCACTTAATAGTTGAGACAAACAGAGTTTAATTACTGACTGCTCACTGAGGTAGATGCTGACCAACACTTAAAAGTCTTGGGACAATTGACTGTTTATCTTGAGAGTCAAAAGGAAAAAAAGCCTCAAACATCATACTGTCTGCTGATCTGGAGAACAGAATTATTTGCATCTCAGTCGAAATTCCTTGTATGGGATTCAGTCATCCAGTTTTGTTTTCTGTTACATATGGCAAGAGCTGTATGTGATAAATATTAAAGGGATTGCCATACCACAGACCTCATCAAATAAAAAGTTGCATTTCTGAGACTGGCTTTTCAGTCTGCTTGTTTTCATCTCCACGTTCTTTTCTGCAGAAGTTGTGAGAAACAGTGAATAAATGTGAGAATGGGGGGGGTAACTTCTTCCACTTCAACACTTTTAATTAGTCATAGGCTCAAAGCTGTCGTTTTTAGCAAGGCTTGCCATGTAATGGTCTAGTCTGGTATGTTTTGCTGTGAAAATGAAGCATAGTAGACAGAACCACAGTGCTTCAAAACAGTTCTTTCATTGTGAGTTCATCATGGGGATCACTTCTCTGCCACGCAGTCACTCCTGTGAGTACTGGCATAAAAGGACTACTTAAAGCTACTGTGAAACTGAAGTTGGTTTTCTGTTGCTGATGTTTTGGAGTTGAGTCATTGGTTTGTTTACTCTGTAGAGTGCAGGAATACTACTTACCCTTAAAGTGTTGTTGGCCTCTGGTGTTAACTTTGGTGTTAACAAAGTAACTGATGTTAACTTTGGACATCAGAAAAGATAAATAAAATTTATGAATAGAAACAATCCAGCAAAACTCTGAAACCTTTATATTTACTCTATAAATGTCACATTCATTTACTGTTGTTGAAGGGCTGTATGTTATGTCTTACCTGACTTTAGCATTTCTTTCAGCTTTCAGGCAGAAGACACACAGAAAGAGAAAAACAGAAAGAGGATAACAATAGCACCGAATGCAGAGAGCCAGGAACCATGGATCTGAAATTCACTTCATCAAGAAAATACATTTCTATCAGTGTACCTTCCAAATCTCAAACTATGTCTCCTCATATCAAATCAGTAGATGATGTTGTTGTTCTTGGCATGAATCTCAGCAAATTTAGCAAACCTACTCAATTTTTCATCTGTGTTTCTGGAGTTTTTATGTTTTATCTAATCTATGGATATTTACAGGTAAATGCTATGTACTCATGTCTTAGGCCAATTCCTCCTACCCCTATTTTTTTTCAATACCATAATAATATAGTATGTATTTTAATATGTATAGATGTTTAAACTAGATATTATTGCAAAGTCAAGCTTTCAGTATTCAAGAGCATCAAGTAACTATATAGTGTGAGTTTCCATTATAATTCATGTGCCTAAAAGGTTTAGATCACTTGGACTTTCTTAACTTGATCTTTTACTCCCATGTGCAAGATAGACCTAAGTCTTCATTGATGTTGAAACCTTTAGAGCTCTCAAAGTTCCATGAGTTCTGTAGAGTTATAGTTCTCTTATTTTTCTCTCTGCTCTCAGGACAGAGCTGAAATATACTGTGGTAGTTTCTTTAGTAGAAGCATAATGTTTATGCAATTTTAGTTAAACATTTATCTTTCTGTTAACCTTTTCTCCTTTATCTTGAACAGCTACATTTCTGTTCCTTTTTTTTAATTATTATTGAGTTCATCGAGCATTCTCCATAAAGCAGTGATTTTAGAAGCTGATAATTAAAAATCACCCTCTTTCCAATGCACTTTTCAAAAGCAGCTAAATATAAATATTTAAATATATAATACATAAAAATATATAATACATAAAAATATAATATATATCAAATATATATAAAAATATATACAAAGTTTATTTTTTTAATGTAAAGCTTCTTTAAGAGAGTTAGACAACGTTATCAGTAATTGAAAGCAGAATCTCAGAAAGGAAAATATTAGGTAGCCTTTTGTTTCTATAGCTGACACATCTACAAAAATCTTTATGCAGTGTGTGTATTTTTCCATAACAGATTGCTCTGCTTTAAAATGTTCCTATAGCCTGCAAATTTATAAACTCACAAGTGCTATTTGATATAGGCACTCAAAATATTAGGTGTGCATTCCTAGGAGCTGAAAATTACATCAGTAAGTATGTTTGTTAGAGAAAGTTTAACTTATCACAAGATATTTATAAATTCTGAATAAAAACAGATAAAAACAAAGTCTTCTACTGATGTAAATGAACTGGAAAAAAAAACCCGAGAAAAACAGACAGGAAGCCATCTATAATTTTATATAAATATTAATGGATCAGATGTAATCCCCTGATGAATTGATCCATTAATTTCAGTGTATTTACACCAGCAGTAAATTATCTTCATGAATTTTGGAAACTTAAATTGTCTTTTCCACTACTTGCAAGTTACATGTGGCAGGTGAATTTGAGCAGCTGCAAAGGCTAGATTTGCATGTATGTGAAGGAAAAAGATCTGTTGATTATTTGTCAAGTCAATATTTTGGTGTATGTACATGACCTTGGTGGGTTTTTGTTTTTATAGGAATTGATATTTTCAGTGGAAGGTTTTAAACCTTTTGGTTGGTACCTCACTTTAGTGCAATTTGGATTTTATTCCATTTTTGGACTAATAGAATTGCAGTTGATTCAGGACAAAAGGAGAAGGTATGTGTTTTTCCAAGCATTTTACCCATTGTGCATCAAGTTAGAATCATTTTACATTTACACTAAATTTAGCTTCTGTTGTTTGAATGTGAGTAGTGTGAGGCATTGGTAGCTGTTCCATAAAAGTGAATTTGCTGGATAATGTTAGAAAATGTTTTGTAAGCACCCACTTAGATTTCAGACCTGTAAGCAGCTTTGTTGACTCTACTGTCATTTTGTCCCACTTAAAGAACATGTTGTATCCTTAAGGTAGCTGATAGAGACTGACTCATGTATGTGTTGCTCGGGATCATCACACGTAGAATAGAGTCAATGCACTTGAAGCCATCTGTCATTGAATATGTTTTCCTCAAATACTGGCACCTCCTCACCAAAAGGTTCCTCCAGCATGCTGTGCATCTTGGAGAGTGTCAGAGCTCCACTGTCTGTTTACCATGTGGCTGGGTAGGTTTGCTTCAAAGGATATGCTGAAGTTTTGTGGTTTTCATTTCAGATAGCACTCGTAGCCCCCTGCCACAAAACTCTTCTGTGTTTTCACTGTAGTTGACCAAGGAAGTTTCTGTTGATTTGAATCCTATGGGAATGGAATAGTTTGTTCTGCATCAATATGGCCATTCTGTGGCTCCCTATCCAACTACAGCCTCTGCAAACTGTATATTGAGGCCCTCTGGAGAGTTGAACAGAGGCTGTCATGGTGTACATGAATTTTAAGATTGCCTTGTATCCTAGTTGAGCATAACTAGTTTTCCTTACCCATAGTCAACCTTGGATTATTTTGCAAAAACTGATTTTAGGTTATAGAATTCCATTGTATCCAAACAACATAACTTCGATAAACTATTCCTTTTATTTTAAACACTGACAGCTTATATTTCAGGTTATCTGACTTCTTGAGATACATCAGATAATACTGCACAGTTCCCTTTTGGGTGTTCTGTTACTAGTATTTAGGGTTTTTATTATCAAATAATTGATAATGCTTCAGAGTATGACCCTTTACGTAAGTTGTGTTGGAAATATAGATCTTAAATATATTGTACATTTTATTTGCTAGCACCTAGCCATCTTCTTATAGACATGCAGAAATCTGTTAAATTTTAAATTTTTCTTGCATGCCTCAGAGTATGTCTGCATCACATAAGGAGTTATGGATAAGACAGGATTACAGCAATACAGCTCCTTATGTTGCTTAATGTGGCTCTGAGTATGCATAAGAAAAAGCTGAACATATGTACATCAATAACTGTAAAATATCATGAAGTGAGCACAGCGATTGCTAAAAATTCCTGTTGGATCATCTGTTGTCAGGTGATAATTTCATAACATTGTGAACGAAATATCTGAAAATGTTCAACGAGCCCCTCTGTTCACAGTAGCTGAATCACTGCTCTCTTAGTTTTGCTGAGTTTCGTAAAACAGTGGTACTTTTTTCAACTTTCGTCCTTTTAAAAGTGTCAAGGTTCATGTGAAAACGTCACCAAAGAAACTGGCACAGTGGCCTGAAAGGACTAAGATTCAGGATATCTTGGTTTACCAATCTTCTGTGTTTCCCTTGACAAATAACCTGAAGCCTTTGTCTTGATTCATGTGTAAACAATATACGTTCTCCAAAGGAGGTTAAAGAATTACTGCTTGAATACTTCATGAGCCATGAGGTTTTTATTGTTTTGTATTTGATTGCTGTTTATTCACAGTAACTGTAAGAAATGAAATATGAAATCAGACATTTATGTACATTTTAAAATTTCTGTTATGGATTGAAATTCAGTGAGAAAGATGTTGAAGCTGTATTACAAACATATTTCTTTATCGAAATTTTCCAAGCTAAATCTCTAGATGAGTCTGCAATACAAAATTCGTATGTTTATATTTTGTAGAATTCCTGGCAAAACCTACATGATAATAGCGTTTTTGACAGTGGGAACTATGGGCTTGTCAAATACCTCTTTAGGATATCTGAATTACCCTACTCAAGTCATCTTCAAGTGCTGTAAGCTCATTCCAGTTATGATAGGCGGGGTTTTTATACAAGGTAAGTGTTAGTCTTGCTTTTGGGTGAAATTTTTATTGTTTGGGAGGCGATTATATATGGAAACCTGTACTTTGTTAAATTCCACTGGTACTACTTTTTCTATGGGGGAAAAATGAGAATTTCTGAAGCATCTTCTCAGAAAATATAATTGGATGAACAGAAAATGTGGGGGAAAACCGTTCTACAGGTCACTTACAAAACTTCATTTTTACACAAGCTTTCTTAATTTTTAAGAAATTTAAGTTTGTTTTATAAACCAAATCATGTCACATATGAAATAACTTCAATACTGAAATGGAGAACCTGAAATGGAAAAAAAATCCAACCATGATTTGTGAAGAAATCCCTTACTCTTCTTGTTTGTAAATCTTAATCCCTAAATTCCTAATAAAAATTCCTAAATTTTGATTGAATGTTTATCAGAAATACACCTGGTTTTGTATGTCTTTGACTAGTCCTAAAGTCATAGTTCATATTCCAAGAAGAGAAAAAGAGATCTGAAGAAAAACAGATGAAGGTTATAGTTATATAAATATACTTCAGTATTTCTGGATTTAGAAGACAAATAAATTATAAAAGTTTGTTTGTTCAGTGCACAAAAATTCAGTGAGTAAAGCTCCACATGGGCAAGTATTATGGAACAATATCTAGAACGGTGTATTTCTGTTTCTGTAGTTAATTTTGGCCTTCTGGTTGCAAAGCTGAATTTTCAGAGAAGGTTGCAACTTTACATATGCACATGCACACACAGTATTTACATTTTATTAGGAAGAATTTTGTATCATTTTAATGCAACATGACTGGTATTCCCTTAAAGCTTTTTGAAACTTTATATTGTGTTGTAGTAGTATTGTAGTCTCAGAAGCTTTGATTTTATTTTTTTAATTTTATTATGAAAAAAGAAATCAGTTCAAAAAAGTTCCCTTGGAAGCTCATACTGAAACTACAGCTTATGGGAAAGGAATATAATATTTCAAACAAGATATAGTAACTCCTGCCTTTTATTTCCCTACTCTCTGTTGCCATCTCCCTCCACATCTTGTCTTTCCCAAACTAAAAGACAGTGTAGGGTTCTAGAAATACCAGAAAAGACAGCTGAAATGTCTTGCATGAGGGGAAAGTATGATGAAAACATCTAAGCTGTCCTGAAGTTGCTAAGAGAATGCTTTGTTGGGGAGGACGTGCTTTAGGAGTCAAATCAAAACTGACCTGTTAGGATCCTCCTCCATGTTAGGAACTGCTGTTGTAGAAGAAACTAATTCCATTCATGAAAGACCAGAGCATTAAGTCCTCTGTTTAAGTGAAAGAGTTGGAACAGTGTTTCCTTTGCCTTCTAGTCTGTTAAACAGGATAAACGTGAAATTCTGAGAGTGCTAACAGTCCATTCATGCTGTTTGTATTGCTTTTGTAGGAAAACGTTATAACATTGTAGATGTGTCTGCTGCCCTATGTATGAGTCTTGGATTAATATGGTTTACTTTAGCTGACAGCACAGTTGCACCAAACTTCAACTTGACAGGTAAAGGTATATTATATTTTAGAGTTTAGGAAAGTGCTTGTTTTTTTCCTACAATAATCATTCCATGGAAGTTTGAGTTCTTGTTGGAGTGCCTTTGGGTATTGTACAGAAATTGCTAGTTTCATTGTAACTTTGCACTAGCAGAACTCCTGTCTGTAACAGAAGAGACCTTTATTCCAAGCGTTAAGTTTTTAGGTTCCTGAAATTTCTGGAAATCCCACCCTTTTGTTTGAAATGTCTCATGCATGTTCCCAAGAAATAATTACCCCAGTAAATATGTTAAAATGAGTATGATAAAATTCAGTTAGACTATTTTAAAACTTCAAATGATTAGTTGTCTTTTCTAGTTAAACTTTTAAGTCTTTTTCCGTTTCAGAACCATTTACTTTATATTAATTGATGATCTCACTCAATTTTGATGTAGTTTTTTGGTGGAGTGCCCACATTCTGAGTTTTTTATGCTGTCTAAAAGAAGCAAAGGGAAGATTTTAACCTGCTTGAATTTAAATCCTTAGTTGAATTTCTTTCTCAAATGGCAATTCCTGAGTTCATTCCAGTGATTTATTTAGAACTGTTTCCATGCGGGTTTCTTTCAGAACTGATTTAGGACCAGGTTTTCCAATTACTTTTACTCATGCTTTACATACAGTATAACATTGCTGGTCTTGTTTGTGGTTTTGCTGCTGCTGCTGCTCAGCAGGTGCAGCACTACCACAATGAATGGAACAGTTCTCCTTACACTCCAAACCGTGTGATTAACATTTGTCTTGTCCCCACATTTCTCCTCCCTGTGCAAACTTACACTTCAGATTCCAGGTAACCTTTTCATCTCAGTCCAGTCCTGAACCCATGCATTTATCCAGTGGTGTGCCTGGGCCCTTAAGCACTGCTGGAACAAGCATGATGGAGAACATAGATGAGACATGCTCTATCACTTTACAGAAGTGACCTGCAGCAAGGCTGTTGCTGAGCTGGAGTCTTACTGTGTCTTTGGACCAGAGCTGAATCCATGCAGATGGGATATCTATATCTTTAGCATAAACAATGTTATTCATGTTATCATGGGTTTTCCATTGAGTCACACCTTTTCCAAGGTCTGATAACTTTCAGTGATGAGAAGACAGAGAGAATGTCGCATGGAAAGAAAATGGTTCCCAAAACGAAAATGCTGGTTTTAGAAGTTCTCATATATTCAGATGTTTGCCAAGGAAATGCCACCTTAAACTTCATGTGTCTTAAAAATGTTAAATCTTACAATTCTGAAAATCCTAGGAACTAGGATTTTTATTTTTTTTTCTCTATTGGGAGCTTGTACTTCATCTGAATGCCTATTTTGAGACCTCTGATTGTAAGAACATCATATTAAGAAAATACAACACTGCTTGTTTCTAGTCTTCCACTCCTGATTCTTGCCTGACATGATCTTTTAAGGAACCAAGAGTAGGGCAGACAGTAAATATGATTTTGATTATTAATATCTTCTGTAATGTATACTTAGAAAAAGTGGTATTTCAACGTGTGTGGATCATTAAATACAACAGTCATGAAAGAATCAGAGTTTGGAGGTTGGGCAATGAATTATGACTGACATGGATAAAAGGTTATTTTTGTTATTGGAAAGCTGATTACATTATTGACTGTGTAGTGACTTTGTTGTGAGCATATATGGTAACCTAAAACCATGGGGTTTGTTGCCGAAGAGTGTTTTATTTAAATGAATGTTTCAGTAATTAGAGATTTCCACTATGAATCCCCTTGTATTTGTTTTACCATTACATATAAAGTTTCTATTTGCCTTTGTCAGGAAAAAAATAATATGGGATTAACTACTGAAAAAGAGTATGTTTTCTGGTTATTTATCTTCATTAAAGATACCTAACTAAATGCAATTGACACTCTTTCACTATTGTTACTATAAAAACTACAACTGGCTTCTTTATAGCAGTGGCCAGATGTTCCCATGAAGCTTAGAGACACACACTGCTCAGGAGTTAACTAGTGGAGGTGGGCACTGCTTTGTACTGGTGTAATGAAATATTTTTGCTGGCATTTAGAATATGTTATAGAAGGGAGTTATTATTATTTTTCTATTCTTGAGATATTTTTTTTCAGGATAAGTACAGAGTGGTTTTTGCTGCTACTCTGCTGATAAATATTCTGAACAGGTTTTTGTTTGTTTGTTTGTTTTCTTATATTAGGTGTGGTCCTAATATCCCTTGCCCTCTGCGCAGATGCAGTTATAGGAAATGTACAGGAAAAAGCTATGAAGTTGCACAATGGTTCTAATTCAGAAATGGTAAATACCAGATTTGCAATTTTTAAAGAACATGATCTATCATAGACAAGGCCTGCAATGACAAAATATGAAACTTAATATGCTTTTCTCTTGCTTATGAAAGAAAAAGCTCTTGGTGTGCTATTCTTGGGTTTTCTGCTTGTTTCTTTGGGGACTTTTGCTGGTTTTTTTGTTTTGTTTTTCAGCCTTTCAAGGCTGCTGCTTTCCGTGCGCAGAAATGTATCTTGCAGCTACAGAAACACTCATTTCTGGCAACAATTCCTTTGTCTACCCTGCAGGCCTGAAATCAACAGAGTGTTTTCTCTATGATCATGTGCTTAATCTCTGAAAAATATATACTGTCCTTCTGGTATAGTTGTGTTATATGGAACACATTGCTTTTCTCACTTACTAGACTTCCAATTCTAGAGTGTGCTAGCACTTGAGAGGCAGCCTTTTTTGAATCTTTTGAAATCTGTAAAACTCTGACTTTCAGAATGGATGGATATGTGTGCTCCTGATTCAGTGAAATACATAATTTTGCAAAAGTCTTGCTCAGCATTTTTTATATACTTACTTGGAATATGGATTATCTGTTCATGTGATCTAAGGTTATTTTTCTTTTTAGACAAAACTTATGTTTGAATTTGGCATATTTTTCTGTGAAGTTGAGTAAATACAAGTAAATCTTTTATTATAACAGGCATGATTTGAATATGTCACAAGTAAAAAGTTACTGGAATTTATTTTGGCACATATTTGGCACATTATTTGACGTTTAACTAGAAGATCTAGTTTCTCATTATGAACGTAGCTTGAAAAATGGAGAAAAAGATAAAAGGAATCTTCGTTTAGGGCTGAAAGTGATTTAGGATGGCTCAAGACATTTGAGCTACAAGTGTCTGAAAAGTGGAAGAATATACACCTAGAAATGTCTCTGTATTCTTGTTTTTATTTTTGTGCTTTTTCTTAGTATTCACTGTTGACTGCTGCTGAAGGCAGAGGTTTTAGCTACATGGACCTTACATGACCCAGTGCAGCTTTCTGTAGCTGTCATCTCCAAAATCCAAACTAAAGTACAATCTGTAACTTTTCTTGCCTACTTTGCATCTTCCCAGCAGTCATCTGACAGTTGTTGCTGCCTTACCTATGAAACTCCAGTTATCTCCAGGACTTTGCTTTTATTCTGCATCAGTCTGACAGATGTTGGTCCTCGTATTGTATACTCATACTACTAATAGAGGATGAGTGTAATGATTAAGGATATAAAAGTTTTACTTGTTTGAGGCTTAGAGTTACACTCCAGGATTTTGTTTAGAGAATTCAATGCAGAAGTACAAGCAGAATTTTAGAAGTCATTTACTTGAGACTGAGGGTAAAAATTGCATCTGAATCACAGATTATATTTAATGGACAGTGATCTGTAAATAAAATCGAATAGTAAAGGAACCTGTCATCCACAACATCTCTGTTTCATTGTCAGATTTGGAAATTGCCCTGGATTTAAGCAATTATGAAAAGAGAAAAGATGTCTTGTGACTGGAGTAGTAACTGCTGCTCTTGAAGATTATACCTGATTTTTATCTTGTTTGTCTTACATCACACTGTCTAACAAGGAAATAGCAATGTGGTGCTCATTCCTGGTTGTGAAAAGGGAGGTCTTATGGCAGTTTGGGAGAAAAGCTGGATGCAGAGGCAAGTGAAGAACTAGGGACTGACTTCTGTGTATATGAACAGTGTCAAATAAAAGCAGATCTGCTCTTTTAGACGTGTATTCATCCTCCTTTATTGTAAAGCAATGATAAGCATTCTGTTATCTCATGGCAATGCTAACAATTGTTAATAGATTTATTTTTCCAAATAGTTGAGATTACTCTAACAAGAAAACAATTGATGAAACCTATGTCAAAAGAAGTAGGCCTGTTGTTGACAAGGAGTTTTGAAAGCATAATCAGCATGCTCTAGGTGGTACTGTGTAGAACAGTTCTGTTTACTGTCTCCCTTTTTCACAAGAAAAGGCTACTAAATGTCGTACAAACAGCCTCCTGCTTCATGGGAGGATGTGTGGATGGGTTCCAGCTTCTAATTCTGTTGACTCAATGTGGGAAAGGATAGGGTGAAGATTCTTCTGTTGGTCTATGAAACTATGAATTAAATAAGGATGCAGACAAAGTAAAGAACCTACCTGTTTGCTAAGTATTCTGAGTGCTGAACTGGGCCAGAGCTGGTCATATTTGAAAATCTTATGCCCTGTAGCCATGATACATATGTGCTGTGCATGCAAAGGGAAGTGACACAGCTGAAACTAATGTGACACTTCTGGCAGTTCATGGGGATTCTGTGCTACCCTTTGCACTTTTAAGGTAATACAGATCTTTACTGTGCTGAAAAAGTAGTGGAAAATGAAATAAGTTTAACGTGTTATTCAGACTATTAAACTAAATAGTTGTGTGAAGTTTTATTTAGGCTGTGAAATCCTGAACTTGAAGGATTTACCGCTGTTGACGCTGACCTCAGGATATTATTAACCGACTAGCTTTCCAAACTTCTTTTATGTTGTTGTGGGTAGGAAGAATGTGTCTAACACTTATTATTGACTTTTCACTGTACATCAACTATTATAGAAATCCTAGTTAAAATATCTTCAAAGGCTGCAAATTCAGCTCTGAGAAGCTGAGCATATTAGCAGGGCCAAGCATTTGAAAACATTTAATTTTATCCTTTTGTATAGTATCACCTGGTAATTATTTTCTCTTACACTATTCTAGGTTTTGTATTCCTATTCAATAGGTTTTGTGTATATTTTATTTGGATTAACATGCACTAGTGGATTAAGCCCTGCAGTAACATTTTGCTCAAAGGTAGGTGTAAAGATTTCTTTTTCTCTATGAAAACCTTCTTCTGTATGGTTTAGAAAATCCCACCACTTCTCTCTCTAATGTCCTATTTTCATCGTGTAAACTGGTTAACTTGTATAATTCATATATTAAGGAAGTTTTTCCAGTCTTTGATGTATAAGATAGGGGAAATTTTTAAAAAGCAACAAAATCACAGGACTAGACTTATGAGCTTATAATTTCATTATTATTTTTCCATTATTTAACTAAAATTAAATAAGGATTTTTGCATGAATGCATTGTTAAACAGCTTATTATTGCTCAAGCAGTTGATTAAAGTCTGTACTTTTATGTCATTTTGCAATACCTCAGGGTTTGTTTTACATTTTCCTAACCAGCTTTTTTTATTGTTGCAGCATCTAGTTCAGACTTACGGTTATGCATTCCTTTTCTCCCTGACTGGGTATTTTGGCATATCCTTTGTTCTAGCTTTGATTAAAATCTTTGGTGCCCTTCTTGCTGTAACAGGTACGAACAAATGATATCTTTTCTGCTTTTGTATAAAAACAAAGTAATCCTATTATTTAGGACAGAGCTTTTGAGAATTGTTCTTGCTCTGGCTTTTTTTCTGTTCTTTGTGCTGGCTGATTTCTGTAGCACTAGTGGAATGTGTTTGAGAGCTCCCTGGTTCTTTTTGTGCCACAGTCTCAACCTTGAAGAGCCTGTTAAGTAGACTTGTGCATTTAGCCCACACTGTGTTTTAGTGCAGAAACAAAAAACACTGTTCTAAACCAAAACATTGAAATAGAATCACGGAATGGCTTATGCTGGAAGGAACTTCAAAGGACATCTAGGTCCAAAACCCCTGCCATATCTTCCACTAGACCAGTTTGCTCAAAAGGCCCATCCAGCCTGGCCTTTAACACTTTCAGGGATGAGGCAGACACAGTTTCTGCGGGCAGTCTGTGTCTCGCCACCATGGCAGTAAAGAATTTCTTCCTAATATCTAGTCTAAACCTACTCTCTTTCTGTTTAAAGCCATTCCTCCTTGTCCTGTCACTACATGGCCTTGTAAAAAGTCCTTCTCCAGATCTCCTGCAGGCCCCCCCTTAGGTATTGGAAGGCTGCTATAAGGTCTTCCCAGAGCCTTCTCCAGGCTCAACAACTCCAACTCTTTCAACCTGCCTTCGTGGGAAAATATAGCAAAGTGTAAGGAAAGACATGTATCATTTGAAACCTGGAAGGAAAAGTAAGGATGTTCCAGAAAAACATAGTAGGCAGTGACATTGTTTCTAAGTGCATGAAACTACAAACATTAATCGCAAGAGCCAGGTGGGTGGAAGGTGTAGCAAGATGCCATGTAGCTACTTTCCTTTCTTACTTCTACCACTAAAAGAAACCCCTGGTTTCTGTCGGGTGATGCTCTAATTCGCTCACAGTAGTGGAGTTAAAAGCATTGTTTTCTGACCTGAGGATTGCATGCTCTGATTTCCTGTCACTTATTTCCTCTGCAGCAGGTCTGTTTTGCATTTGTTTTTAACAATGTTCAGTAGGTCTCCTGACTGGAAATTGACCCAGATGAGAGGGATCGTCCATGTATTAAAATAGCTCTTAAAAAAAAAATGGTCTCACTGTACTAAAAAATGTTAAAAATGCCATGGAATAGCAAACCTCTCCCAGGTTTTCCTATGCCTGACCTTGACAATTCTAACATTTGAGCCCTTTCTATCTTGCCTGTAGCAATGTGAAAATGTTTATTGTGCCACAATGAACACCACATTCATTACTGTCCCTCCCACCTCCCCCCATCCGCTCTCCCCCTTCATGGGGGGAGTGGGGTGAAAGAGTTTAATGAAAATTGTATTTCTATTAGCAGAATGAGAAATTATCAGACTTAATTGGGAAAAAGAAGAAAAGGCACTTAAATTAGAAGGAAATGGTTACATAAATATTTTAATTAATAACTGATTTGAAAGAACAGAAATAATTGTAATTAGTAAAACTGAAGTAATTTAACCATTTTTTAAATTATTCATCTGTAAACTGTTTTCTAATTAAAACTCAATTTTCTTTTTCATTCTCCTTTAATTTTTCATGTAACAGGAAATCATTTTATTTGATGTGCATAAATTTCTTAAAATGTAAAGAAAATCAGTAAAAATTACTAAAATTATTAAAAAGTTGAGGTTGGGGCAGATGAAGCAGTGGTGAAGTCTGTTTCTTCCCCTACAAAAGATACTTTTAAGTAAATATTTGTCTGTGGGGGAGAGTTGGTTAAAATAAAACTTGCTGGACTAACCACAGCAGCATGAAATATACCTCAGTAGTCATTGGTAACTTTTTGCCAGTATGTTGCAGTACAACTAATTTGGATGTTATACAAATCTTGCTTAAGCAAGAAAGACTGTCCAGTACGTTACAGTAAAAAGTATCTCATGGTAAGCACAATATTTTCTGTTAATAAAAATCATATTCTTTAGGTGCAGACCTACTGCACCCTGTACTGGGGGTCTTTCTCAAGTAAGAATCCTGTGCTATCATATAGAATAACACCTTCTCAGGCCCTTTAGCTCCGCAGCTAAACTTGTGTGCCTGGCTGCCTTGCTACTTTGTTTTAAAACATTTTCTACAACTTCTTTGATAAACTATATATGCTACCCAGCACTCAATTTGGTGTATCCTTGTTCATAGCAGTTTGCATTGAAATTGTTCAAATAATTGTTGGAGCTGAAGTTAATTTGAGAGTAACCAAAGAGGTTACTGCTATTTTGGAAACAGGATTATGTTCTTCACTCTTCTTACTACTTTAATTTTTTTTTTTTTTAGTGATCAAATTACATGTAGAAGAGGATCTCTTAATGGTTTTAAGGAAAACTTCCTAATGCAGTCATTGAAGTCAGAAGAGAACATCCTTGTTCTCTTAGGTTTCTAACTAAAATTGTATTTCCCTGCACTGTTAGGTAAATTTATAGCAATTTCAAAAGAATGATGAGATGATAATCCCATTCCACTTAAAAACAGAGCCCAAAACACCGCTGAACTCTAATAACATGAGGTGGAAATGGCAAGAGATTTGTTGTATCCAAGCTTTAACAGATTAGTTTAGACCATCAGATAATTGCAAGAGTTGTTTGTTGCTTTCAGAGGCTGTGAATTGATTAGCATGAAGTTATTAAAGAGCAAATTTTGTTCTGGAAGTTTTTTTGCTGCAGATAGTGTGACTGGGGTGATACTACTGTCACAGTGTCCTTGTTTGCAAACAGTGTAGGGTTCTAGCACTACATTTGCAGTGTGTGTTTGCACCAAGGGTGATCATCGTTTTAGCCAGACACTTAATTATGTAATGAGGTTACCTGCTAATACTGAAGCCTATTTTATGTTCTTTTGCTGCAACTGAATTCTTAAAGAGGTAAATATTTGTTTTCCTCTGCAGTAACAACAGGAAGAAAAGCAATGACCATTGTGCTTTCTTTTTTGTTCTTTGCAAAGCCATTTACATTACAGTAAGTATTTACAGTTTTAAATGCTTTATTAAATATTTTATAAGAAATCGTGTCTTGATCATGGAACTATAACAACAGTGATTAATCAGGGTTTAATGCTTGTCATTTCATATCTTCTACGATTGTTGGCAGTTTGCTGTGAATATTGACGGGCTTGTTGATACTAATCATACTAGAGAAAATAGTTTCCATTTTTCTAAAGGTCTGAAAGACAAGCTATTCCATGTGTTGGCATTTTTTGTTGTGTTTTTTTTTTTTTAAAGAAAAAACTTAGATAATTTCTAATTCTTATGATACTTAATAAATTGTTTGGGTACTTTCTCTGTGGAGGAAGATTTGGCTAAAGAAAGGGATTTTCTCCATTACAGTATTGTTTCTGCTTTTATAAGCTCAGATTTGAGTTCTTAACTAGCCTTTTTAAATAACTGCAAGCTTCTATTATCTTGAGATACTAAATGACAAGATTTTTGAGCTTGGGTTTATTCCCTTTTTTTAGTTTCAGGGAAGAGCTTATATTGAAAAATGCAGCTAAGTTGCTACTTTGATCCTAATTGTTTCTGGTTTGAAACAAAATAATATTCCATTTTATTTCTATATATAATTTTATTTGAGATTTAAGAACAAAGTTTACACCCAAACACTCAAATGGAATTTACTCCAGCTAAAAGTCTTGAGGCTTAAAATAATGGAGAGCTGAAAGAAAAATGTGCCTACATTGGGAAATATGGATATAAGGCACTGAGTAAGAACACATTTTGGGATAGTAATAGAGAGTATAGCTCTCATAACCATAGGAAGGAAAAACATACTAAAATCCTCAGGATTATTTTATTCATGTGAGAAATAACAGATACTGTTTAGTTATTATTTAACTATAAATGCACCTTAATAAGCTCTCCAGCCAGGACAGGAAAAAAGAAGGGTGCAAGGATAGTAATAATAAAGATTCAAGGATATTCAGAGCCCACTGATTTGTAGGGGTTTTTTTCTTCAACTCCTCTCTCCTTAATGTAGGGGCTTTATTTAATCCACATATATAGGTATGTAATTGCTACAGATAAGTGCTAATGATAACTTTTTTTCCCTCCTCTCCTCTCCCTCCCCTTTAGGTACGTGTGGTCAGGCTTACTTGTTGTCCTTGGTATATTTCTTAATGTTTACAGTAAGAATATGGATAAAATCAAACTGCCTTCAGTGCATGGTCTTTGGAAAAAAACTGTGGAAGAGAGAAAAACAAGGACGTTGTCACAAACTGTATAGACAGTGGTTTATGCCTTGTCTAGACTTTGACTTCCAATTTTGTTGGAACAGTCTTCAACTGATTCACTTTCCAAAGGGAACATTATTAAAACCAAAGGAGCTGAAGGCATATTATCTGCTTGCAGATTGCTGTAAGTGCACGCTTTTGTGAGTCCTTTCTTCAGAGCACTTGAATTCGTCGTAAAAGATGGTGTAGGCCGTTGTCAGATGGCTTTATCAGGCAATGAAGGACAGCAGCTCCTGGCAAACTGCTGAGAAGCTGCACTCAAGTGGGACACTGTAGAAGACTAGTTTGGGCATTTTAATAATATTGGCCATGTGGCTGATCTGAGATTAGTGGTTCTTTGTTAATTGTCTAGGTGGAGTAATTTAAATGTAATACTGTATTATTTTTTAATGGAACCTGATCACCAAATTGTGATTTAAATCACAATCGAATTGTGATTTTAAAGGTGGAAGGTTTAGAATATGGTATGTTGTCACTCTTTTACATTTTAAATAAAAATGTTGGGGTTTTTTTAAGTTATTTAGATCATCACAGAATTTGGTATTTATTGTAATAATTGAAATTTTTATGGAAATCTTAGTGTCACTCTTTTTGACTATTGCTTCTGAGTAACAAAACTGAGACTGAGTTTGTTTAGTCAACACTCGTACTTTAGTAAGGCGGGAATGGGCTTTTAGGCCTGAACAGGGTGAGAACACAGAGTGAAAAAAATCATGATTGAAACAGTGGTGTAAGAAACTGTTATTTGCTTATTCTGTGGTGAAATACAAAAATTTTAGTGACCTATGGCCCTCTGTATCATAGTGGTGTAAAGAGACATGGAAGTTCTCTTTAAATTAGTGTCATCACATTGAAATTCTTCAATTTCGATATTGGAGTAAAAAGTAACAGCATCTGCTAATGTGTTTGGAATATGTATCGTGTTTGTGTGGTCTTCTGATGAAGTTAAGAGGATTAGGGTACAGATTACAATTTTCTTTCTTTAATGACAGGAGGAGACAATGTGCTACCAGTCTGTCTTTTTCATCCTGAATTTAGGAAGACTAAGTCCATTTATCTCTCTTACTTTCATATTCAACTCGCTTTTGAATCACTTGCCATCTCTTTCATTTTATATAGTTAACAAAGCACTTTAAAAATACCAATCACCTTGCAAATCACTGTTCTTATGTGGTCATGTTTTTTCTTTTTGTTGTATTCCTTAGATGTATCTTGATGTGTGTTCTTTCAACTTAGACAAAAGTAAATTGGATAATAGAAACATATAGTCAGAAAAAACGTACAAAGAATTGAAATATCTCACAGGATTGCCCTCTGTCAAACTACTAGTTGATGAAAGTATTCACAATGTGCAAAATGTTTTTCAGACACTTAAGAAGAATATCTGTTCCAAAGAGCTTGTGATCAAAGCACAGACACAAAATGTGCCTTAAATTTTGCTTATTAAATTGGTAGCTAGCATGTGCTATATTAAGTATGTTATGGAATAGAACACAGAATAGCATAGCCATCTTAGCACATGGAATGAATAAGTGAAGAGCTATGCTAACATAACTGCACTGTCTCCAGCACTCAGGCTACTCTGGTGTGTCAGCAAAGCCTTTCAACCCATACAAACCCACTGTTGCCAAGTTGGGAGAATTTATTGCATATGACAATTTTGTTTCTTAAAATCCCAGCTGCTGCATGATTGATTGTGTCCTGGATAAGGTAGAGAGGTGTGAATTTGATGAACAGATACACCTTGAAAGAGAAGGATTGCCTGCCATGACCTTCCATTTTCATGTTACAGCCAAAGTTTTATGGTAAGGTATGATAAAGTGTTACAATTTCAGATTTGGTGTAAGAGTGCATTTGGCCAAGTCAAGTGGATTGATACACTTCTTTCCCCATAATATTTATGATTTCTTACATTCCCTTGTATTCTTTTCACTATATGAAGTTACTCTTTCCAGTGAGGGTAAGGTAATTTTACAGTCTCAGTTCTGCCATCTGTAAACTCTGTCTGTTGCTAAACTTTATTGAACTTCAGGAAAACAAACTATGTGAAAGCTACCCTACATGCAGAAAGTCATAGTAAATATAATTCATTTGGCATCTGTTTTATTTAAATAGATGAGAAGTCACACAAAGTTTCTGACTGGAATTCAAATGTCATATGTAGGTTTCCAAGCTGTTTATATAATCCAGTTTTGTCTCCATTTTCTCTCTTCGGAGAGCGTAGCATTCACAATAATTCACCTTTTAACTTATTCTCTGTTTTATACAAGACTGAGTTAATGAAGCTCACATTGGGGGAAGTTTTGATTTATTTTTTTATTAATTTTTTTAACTGTAGAAATGTATGTTTTGTTTTACAGGTGTACTTTAAAATTATTTTTATACACAAATGAATATTATAGGTTTACTGTTAATAGCATAAATTTAGGTGTCAGCTCTTTATTTTCCTAGGTGTAAGTCTAGTACTTGCAAATCAACAATATGTGTGGTAAAGAAAATGCACACACAAGTTAGACTAGTTCATAATTTGCCACCCATCATGGTCTGTGCAGTTTCATGCTTTCATTAAGAAAACCATATCAGTGAAATGCTGTTTGTGGGGTTGTGATTTTTTTTTAATAAGCTTCATAGTGCATGCAAGGAAGAGAACCTTACAAAACTACAAGTGTTCTTATCACAAAATTTTGTTTTTGAGTCTTCTGTATACGTATGTTGGTTTTGAAATATGAATAAGGGCTTGTCCACAAAGTAACTGTAAATTCTTTTTTTGTTTTTGTGTAAGAGCATTTATATTGAGGTGTTGTTTAATCCTTTCTGGTCATGATAACTATTGCATTTTATACTCATTGCCTCCTGTGCTCTTTATAGTAGGCATGATGAAACCATAGAAAAAACAATCAGGTCTCTCACCAGAAGATTTATTATCTAATGTGAAATAGTTGCTTCTTATTCTTATGCTACACAACTTTCTCCTCTCTACAAAAAATCTACAATGTAAAAATTAGTTATGGCATTGAAGTTCACAGTAAAATTTAAGTCTAACCAAGGTCTCCACTGATGTCAGCAATCTACCTCTGTGACACCCTCTACTTCTGCCTCCTTTGGAAAACTGAGGGAGCTCTGTTTTCCTAAATTAGCATGCATTTGCAGTTGCTTTCACATTACATTTTTGCATTTATTTAGCACACTTCAGTAACAAAGTAATTGCCTGTGCAGTGGATTTCTTCATTATTTCTTCATTCAGTATGTCAGTATCACCAGAACTGCTAATTATTCAGGTACCTATGTGTGAATACAAGTATGGGAGAACTAATGCCCTGAGCCTGCACCCCTGCACCCCAAACCTACAGTGTTTTCTGATACTACATTAAACTGGTTTTTGCAATCTTGTTTTACCACTCCTGTGCTTTGAACTTACGAAACATTTCAAGTTAAACTTAGGCATACATCATAACTACTTGTCTTCCTTACTTCCTTACTTATCTTTCTTAATTTTGGATGGTAACTCCGTTTTTAGTGTGCTCTGTTGATGCACTGTGCATTTTTTCAGGTTTATATTTCTGCATTTAAGGGCTTACATCATACTATTGCAGGTTGGTCACATTCCATATTTTGTGTTTCATATCAGTCATAGCCATCTGGATGATTCTTTTAAATCCTCTTTTCTCCATGAAAAAAATCTTTCCTTTCATACATTCCGTTATTTTTGGAAAGGTCTTGATGAGTACACGTATGAGTTAACTCCTTGACCTCATTCCATCTTCCAAGAAAATCTCTCTTCTCCCTTGCTTGCCTTTGAGAACTAAAGGAAGAGGAAATAAATTATTGCAAGTGCTATTTTTTTCTTTAATAAGTGCCTTCCATACTAACCTGGTGTGTCTTAATTGTTTCTTTTTTTTCTGCCTCCCATGCTCTCAGGCAGAAACAAGCCCTTGTCTCATGTTTGACCACTGCTTGTTCAGTCATGGAAACTTTTTGAGTTGTTTACTGTTCTGAAAAGAGGTATAAAATTGCATGTATACTCTGGAGGGCAGGAAATAATAAGTATACTTCACAAGTTAAGGAAGTAATTAAATGGATTAATACTTTTTCTGGAGGGATTTTATATATGGTTTAGGTAATAGCTCAGAATTTGTTAGTGGAAGGGGTTTTTTTTCCTTTTACATTTTACCTGCTTAAAAATCTTTATATTAATTTTAATATTTAATATAAAACTCCTGACTGTTCAGGCAGTTTATAGAGATTAATTTCAGTCTTGCCTATGAGGCAGAGAAGTCTTGTCTCCATTTCACTGATGTAGAAATGGTAACTTGCCCAAAGTTGCCTTAGTAAATCTGCAGGGAGCAAGGAATAGATGTTAACACCCTCAATTGTTCTATGCCCCAAGTCCAGCAGAGCCCTTCTGTACCTTAAACAAAGCAGTACCAACGTAAGCTCAGTTTTCTTTTACTCCAGTTGTAGAGATGTTAAATTGTTTCTGTTCCTTGTTCTATACTAGCGTAATTTAAAGGGAAATTAAGACAGCCATAAAATAGATTTCCTGCATTTTATTTGAAGCTTCTTTGTATTGTTATGTTCTTGTTGATTTGTTCTATATTCTGTGAACACTGCTATGGAAGCAAACCAGAGAGATTAGCAGTTGTACAAGAAGCATAATATCCTTCACTTTAAGGTGACTGGTGCATCTTGCTGCTGGTCAAAGCTGCCGTTGGAAAACTGTGAGGAACTATCATCACATGAGGAATTGAGCATAATGGTGTCATGCCAGGTCTGTATCTTTTCGCCATTCACTTGTAGAGAAGCAAAGACTAATGCAATAAAGAACATTCATGCACAAGTACTCAGCTTGTACTTAATGCTGATTTAACACTTTTCTACACCTGGATTCTGCTAGTTTGCTGGGGTTTTGAGGTTTGATAATAATGTATTGCTTCTCTACACTTGTGGTTATTTAGATGCTTTCTTTCCTAGATTTCTCGGTTTTATGCTTCCTTGGGTTTTTTTTCCCTTACTTGTATTTTAAGTGTAAAGTTTTACCTTGTCATTTTCATTACGCCTGTAGTATTGTGTCCACTTCTGGGCTCCCCACCACAAGAGAGAGATGGGGCTGCAGGAAAGAGTCCAGCAAAGAAGATGATGAACTGGAGCATCTGGGTCTGTTCATCCTTGAGAAGAGACAGCTCAGAGGAGTCTCATCAATGTGTATCAACACTGAAGAGAGCCTGCAAAGAAGATGGAGCCAGGCTCTTTTCAGCGATGTCTAGTGACAGGACGAAGGCAGTGGACACAAACAGAAATACAGAAGGTTTCCTCTGAACAGCAGGAATCACTTTCTTACTATCAGGACAACTGGCAGAGGTTAGCCAGAGAGCTTGTGGAGTCTCCACCATTGGATATATTCAAAAACTCTGGACGTGGTCCTGGGCAACTGGCTTTGCTTGAGTAGGGGAGGTTGTACCATATGGCCTCCAGAGGTGCCTTCCAACCTCAGCCACTCTGTGATCGTAAATCTTAATATCTCTGTGTATCTTTAACTTTTTCTCCTGTTTACAAAGTGTTAATAAATGTATTTAAAACATAAACCAAGCATCTCTGATGTTGCATAAAAATTGGGAGCAAAAAACCAGGCTAGTTTAGTAGAGATAAGATAGAGAACAGGTCTTTAATGAAGGCCTTCTGGTGCAAGGAGTCTGAAAAGGCATGTGCCCCCGTGTCCAAGGGGTTCCACAATTTATGGTCTGATCCGAGAAATAGCCCCCCCCCCACATGTGCCTCCCTGGCACGCCTACCCGAAAATTGAGTGAGAGGTCCCAAGACCCCTTTCTTCCTCCTCTTCCTGTTCTTCACAGTACATACTGTCTTTGGAGCTTCTCCAAGATTCCAAAAGATCCTAAGGCATCACTGGGTTGGCTACAGTAACTCCGCTGAAGCTGGCAAAGCCATGCTGGCACCACCTGACAGTGTGATTCTTGCTGAACTATGACTATCAGAGCACATTCCCTTGGAGAGAGAGAGACCTTCATTGGTAACTGCTGCTCAATGCAAAACAAGAGTATGTGAACCTCTAAGAGCAAATGCAAGACACTTGTACATGAAATTGATACTGTCAATACAGAACTATTTGAAGGTATTCATGAAGGAGTTCAAAGTTGCTTTTTATTTTCTGCGTATAGATCTTGCAGTGCTGCTTTGTGTTTTAGTGCACCATCTGCAGGTGTCTGCCAGAAATGTTGCTACACTGCTTTCTGCCTGTTGTCAGCATTTTGCATGAACATGGACAATTGTGGTAGATGCCTTCGTACTTGTTCAGAACCCCAGTAAATTCCATTTAAATACAGTTCTGTAGTAACAGACATTAATATGAGCATATCTGTGCAAAAATCTTTTATAATGGAAAACTGAAGTAAGATGCTGTGTCAGATTGAACATTTGAATCCCAACAGCACTGGAACTCATGCGTGCACACACGCACACAAAATGAATACCACTGTTATCCATGGATAACAGCCTGCCTCATGGTAATCTGTGGTTTACCTGTGACTGCAGCAGTAAAGGGGAAGTTCATTAAATAGATCTGCCCTGCACGTCTGTTAGTGCAGTACCTTTGAATACAGAATGTTGTAAGTTTGGCTTCTGCTGGAAACTGTCCTGAAATAGACTTGGTGATGGCATGTTCTGGGTGACACCCACTCAGACATGGGAGAGGGATGCATTACAGCAGGCTTTGGGCATGCACAGTCTGGTTGATTCCATGCTGACAGTATGTCAGCTTTGCTCTATGTTAATAGAGCAAGTCTCTCTGTCCTCAGCTTGTTACTGAATTTTCTAGGTAGCACTAGCAGTAACCTGGATTTACGAAGCCAAGCCATGCACATGTTTTAAGAAGAGCATCTGTGTTTAAGTCCTTTGCAATCTACATCTTGAGGGAACATAGACATCCCAAAAGTCTCTAGTATTCATAAGAAAATGGAAGGTGTATTTTTGATCTAGTTGGAAGAGAGTGTTCTCCCTGTGAAGGACAAACACAGTGCTAATACATGAGAAAGGTTATAGGTTTGGTTATAGCCTATGAAATAATTGGTGAGTGGATCAGTAGGCCACTAGAATCATCTTTGGGAATTTAGGAACATTTATAGGTTCCATTTACTGGTACCATTTGTAGAAGAATAAACCTTTCCTGACAGGCTACAGTTCCTGTTTTTTCATTTTTACTTCATTCTCAGTTCCTGAACTCTTTTAGGTTTCCATAGCACTACAGTAACTACTGGTACTCAGTGCTAACATAAATATGGATATAATCAAACCTCTGAAAAGTCCTTGTCCACAGCAGGGGAGCAGGAATGACGCAGCAGTGGTATCCCGGTGATGAAGCATTGTGAAAACTCCATGGCCCCGTTTCACACATAATATGGTGTTGCTTACTGCACACTACAGAGGCTCTTCCTCCTTGTGTGCTTCTCTGTGACTTCAAAAACTCCAAGCCCTTGTGGTAGCTTCATTACATGAGACCTATCACAGTCTTTTGCAGGACTATGCATTCTAGGTAAAGAGCCCTCTGCATAGAAAATTAAGGGCACCACACGCTATGCTTAGTTAGTGGGTTACCTTATAGACTGTTTATAGAAAGTATAGGTGCTCAAATTTGTAGGTAGGTGAATTATTCAAACCCATCTGAGCCTTACTTTGAATGTCAGGGTCCAGTTTAATGTCCCTCATGAGAAGAACAGTGATAGTACTAAGTACTGGAAGTGCCCCACTTGACTTTAAAAATGACCTATGGTTTAAAAGTACCCTTTCAGAAGAGAACTGAGGGGGAAATGGGTCTCTGACATCTATGGCTGAGGACAGAAAAACCACAACACCCAATGATGAATGGTTCTGTTTAAAGATCAGTATTGCTTCTCTGCTCATTGTGTCTTTAAATGTAGCTTCTATATTAAATACTCCTTTCCTGCTCCAGTAATGCTTATTCTTACAAATTGGTAAAGGTATAGCGGTTTATTTTGAACTTGATGGATGTTTCATTTTGAGATAGACATTGCAGCCACAGGATATGGACAATCGTGGACATGGAGTACTGCATTCAGCTTGGGATGCTCCCAGCACAGGAAGGACATGGACTTGCTGGGAGCAAGTCCAGAGGAGGGCTACAAAGATGATCAGAGGGCTGGAGCACCTCTCCTATAAGGGAAAGCTGAGTGAGTTGGGATTGTTCAGCCTGGAGAAGAGAAGGCTCCAGGGAGCCTTCTTAGGAGAAGGCTCCTGATTGCAGCCTGTCAGTACCTTAAGGGGGTCCACAGGAAACATGGGGGAAAACTGTTTACTGGGAACTGTTGCGGTAGGAAAAGGGATAGCAGTTTTAAAGTAAAAGAGAGTAGATTTAGATTAGGTATAAGGAAGAAATTTTTTACAATGAGAGTGGCAAAACACTGGAACAGGTTGCTCAGTGAGGTGGTAGATACCTCATCCCTAGAAACTTTCAAGGTCATGTTTGACTGGGGTCTGAGCAATCTGATCTAATTGAAGATGTTCCTGCACATTGCAGGGGATGTTGGAGTAGGTGACCTTTAAAGGCCCCTTCTAAACCAAACTATTCTATGATTCTATGTCCTCAAAGAGGATTTGAGGCCCCTGGAAGGCTTTAATGCATAAAGAGTTCATACAGGCTTCAGGCAGTGACAAGCAGAATTTAAGCTCCTTAGGCTTTAACATGTCTTTAATCGTTTGTTGATGTAGCCTAAAGTTAGGATTATTTATTTTATGTACTATCCAAATTTTGGTACTGGAAAATCATTTTAGTGAAATATACACTAAAAATTGCTCTTAATAAGCAGTTCAACTTAACAGCTGATAGTATTGTATATCTAGTTTACACTATCCTGTGTAGTGCAGCTCATATACAAAATCTGAGTATGAGTGTTTGGCCTCTTCAAATGAAGACTGTATTCTTGCTGTTAGGAAATTTATATAAAAGAAAACAAATTCTGTGTAACTATGTAGATAAGAACTGATTTAAAAGTAGTTCATCCTTACTGTGAGTCACACCTGATTTCCCTGGACTTCTTATCCTTAATAAATAAGTCATGCCTGTCTCTGCAAGCTTGGTTTTCAGACTTCATCTTTCCTGGGATTAAAGCAGCCTGAGATTAAGCAGTCATGCTTACTTGCATGCTTGCCGGGGATGAGACCGGTTATCGCCTAAAGCTTTTGGATCCCTAGGCACATAGGTAAAGGCTATTTGAATAGACCATCTTAGACTTGGTACAACACAGCTTGAATATCATCTATTCTTTCACAGAATTTTTTTCCAAGAAGCTGAAGCATAGATTATGTACAAATGATACATGGTTTGACTTCTAAATAGAAATGTTAAGAGAACTAGCTTTCTTCCTACTGAGAGCTAAATTTGTATGGAGAATAGGTGTAGCTGTGTATCAGAAAGGTACAATGTGGTATGATTCACCAGATTTTATTTCTGCACTGTGCACTGTGGTAGGATAAGGAAAGAAATGAAAACCAAGATGTGTTGGAGAGCAATAACCTTAGTTCTTTTCATTACCTAATGTTGGATGCAACAGATAAAAAGCGGGTTTCAGTAATCGGACTAAGGCTTGGGACAGGGATTTTTCAAAGGAACTGAAGACAATGAAAATACTGTTGAGCCTTAACTACTATTCTGAAAATACCAAATTCAATCACCACAGAAAAGCACTACACTGCCCCTCTCTGTGCAAAGCTTCTCTTCTGTGGAGATCCACTGTGAAGACAGATTAATCTTAATGTACACGTTGGTTGATGGGAAAAGACATCTTTTTAGGTATGGTGAGCCTTCATGGTTGGAAGGATGGCTCCTTTCAGTCATCTTTATTTCGGGTCCTTTGAGAATAGCTGTGCCAAACTGAAAATGAATGAGCCATGTTTGGTAGGTATGCAGGTGGCTGAAGGGAGCTGTACATGATTTAGTGTGCAGTCTCTTCAATCTGCTAGATTTCTTCTTCTGGAGCTGTGGTTGTTGGATCAGTTTAACTGTTCTCTTTCTGCTAGTAACTTGAAGTGTTAAAATGTGGGGGTTTTTGAAAGTGTGGATACTTGGTTTTTTGCACAGTTTGGGGAGTTTAGGTCGATTTTTTTTATTTATTTTATTTTTCCTAATTAAAATTCCATGGTGCAGGGGATTCTTCGTAAGTAATTTTCAATGTTAAGCTTTTATCTTTTCTGTTTCATTTATTTATTTTCACAGTAAGAACTTGTCTACCATCTCTTCTTCTCCATGTTCATTTCTATTATTGTAATCTCTCTTCAATAGAGTTGGTAACATGCATTATTTTCTCAGTATCATGTAATAAATAATGGTACATGTCTGAAGCTCATCACAACAGCAAATAAGATGGTGCGTAATGCATCATCCTCTCCAAATTGCCACAGCAGGGAGGCCTGGCAGTACATCCATTACCTCTGTTATTTCTCACAAAAAGCTTAATTCTTCTGCCCATGGATGTTGTAAGGCAGCAACAGAAAAAGAGCTGAGGTAGCTACCTGGGGATGTGAGCCTTTGGGAGAATGCTGCTCCTTTTAGTTAGAG